TTGTTGCTCAGGGTATCAGGGATACTTGGGGGGGGGGGGGGGGGGGGGGGGGAGGAGAGGGGAAGGAACCCCAAAGGGAGGGGGCAGGGGAGGCATGAGCAGCCATGGCTGCAGTGCCAAAGGTCAGCTGCTGCTGCTACTAGGCGGCAGCTCCAGCGGCAGCTCCAGCAGCAGCTGCCGCGACCTGAGAGCCAGCACCCCACTGCTGCTGGTGGTGATGCTACTGTTGTTGCTGCTACTATTGTTGCTGGAGATACTGATGATGCTACTGTTGAAAGTACTGCTACGGCTGCTGGTGCTGCAAAAACTGCTGCAGCTGGTAGGGGGGGGAGGGGGAGAGTAGGCGAAGGTGGGCATGAAGGAAGGAGGGGAAGGTTTGGATGTCCATGAGTGAGGGACGAGGGTTGATAGTAAGGAGGGAACGAGCGAGGAGAGGTGTCGGTGTTACCACGATCAAACCAAGCGTCATCAAGCACCTTAAAGCACATGTCACGAGGGTGGTTGGTCTGGCCACTGGGCGTGCCTGTGCCTTGACCATGATGGAAGACATATATGCAAGGGGGAAGATTGCCTGGGCGACCACCACGATTCCCAGCACCTCGAGCACTAGTAGTGTCACCACCGGCACCACCACCAACACCTCCACCACAACCTCCACTACCGCGGCCTCCACCACCACCTCCACCACGACCACCACGGCCACCACCACCACCTTCGCCCCTGCCACCACCACCTCCACCGCCGTTACGACCACCTTGATTGCGCGGCTGCCTGGTATTGAGGGAGGAGGAGGGAAAAGATGGAGAGGTGGTGAGGTTGACGGCGGACGTGCGAAACTTGACATCAGTGTCAATAATCCATCGGACCACCGAGCCAATGTCAGCTAAGGGGTTCGCCTCCGTAAACGCGTGGAGGCGGGACTCGTAGTCTAGGGTGAGGTTGAAGAGCAGGCGGTGGATCTGCAATGGCTCGGAGTGGCCGGTCTTACGAGCATCGAGGCGATCAGCGACTTTCTGTATACGCCCCACGTAGTCGACACTGCCATAACAATGTTTTTCCGTATTGTTTTTAGTATTTATTACTTACATATTCATCTTTTATTGTGGAGCTTACAGTCTCCCAAATGGAGCCTGGTTTCTTGCTATGCGCTTTGTGTAAGAAGCGTGATGAGAGCGGATGCTTTGGCTTCACATCATTATTCGCATGTTTGTGGAAAAGCAACAGAAGATAACCAGGACTTCAATCACATCAATTCCAGTAATCTTGTGGATCACATAGGTCTACGTCGACCATCCTCAAAATATAAGCATCATAAGACCAGTTTTTATGTGTTGTACTAGTTACTCCAATGTTTGTATTCAATTATGCATTGTGTTAATATATCAATTCTGTTCATGATGTCTATAATCCTAACTGTCTTCGCATTTTGCATATTGCATCATCCATGATCTTGATGATCCTCGATCTGTTACTGTATCTTTCCTAATAGGTCAAAGATCATCAAGATCACGTATGATGCTATTGTTGCTCGAGTCACGCAGAGTTCGACTCTTGTTCCCACCGCAGCAGCCGACGTCCACAGCGTCACTTCGTAATTTATGCATGTGGTTCATAGTTATCATACTTGTATTGCATGTTAGCCACATTAAAGATAAGATCAATCCTACAACTTAAGGACCTACTGAAAACAAATTCAAAAAACAATGCGAGCATAGAAGTCTCTAATTAAATCGGTTAGCACTATCCTCACTCCCATTGCTGGGTTCCAGCCATTGCATCAGTCGCTATTGCAATCTCCTTACTGATGGAGGAAAGCGGGGTGGGGGAAAGAGAGCCGATAGGTGGTGGAAGGGCGACAGGTTTAGAGAGGCGAGAAAGGGACAAACAATGGGAGGAAATGTGGGGGGAAGAGGAAAGTGTGGGCAAGCGGAAAATACAAATGGAAGGGAGTGAAGGGATGCATCGAAGGGAAAGAGAGATGTGAAGTGGAGGAAGGAGAGGAGAAGGGAAAAACAAGGTAAGGGAGAAAGCAAGAGAGGGGAGAAGAATGATAAGTCAGGAAAGCAATATGCGATGACATAGGACAACAAAGGGGCACAACAACGATGTCATCAACAGTGGAGGTGGGCAGCAGCAGCTTGCCAATGATATAAGGTTAGCACTATCCTCACTCACATTGCTGAGTTCCAGCCATTGCAACAGTTGCTGTTGCAATCTCTGTGAAAGAGAGAACGAGAATGGAATGACTATGAAAGAAGTGAGTACAAATAGGAAACCCTAATTGGGTTGTACCCCCTATGGGATACCCCACTATAGCCTACACAATAGTATAAGCTATATAGTTCTGACACACCCCCATAGGCGAAGTGGGGGAGAACAAGGGGTCACAAGACCAGTCAAGCAAAGCAAAGCAAAGCTCAGGGTGGATCACAAAGTCACCACACATTCCGAGCACAAGTTCAAGGCCACATGGCCAGTTCACATGCAAGATCATATATAGAGATATACAAGAGTCAAGTAAGCAAGAGCAAGAGTATATATAGGCGAAGGTACAAGCAAGGTCAAGAGGAGAGCAAGTGAGGCAAGACAGGCACAAGACCCAACTGCGTGCAACAACGCTGATGATCACAAGGCGCAAGTGCCTTGGTGAAGACATCAGCAGTGTTGGCCTCAGAGGCCACGTACGCAAGTCGCAACTGTCCACGCTGCTGTAGCTCACGAGCAAGAAAGTAGCGGAGAGCAATGTGCTTCGTTCTGTGCTCCAGTCTCTGCTCTCGACACAAGGCCAGCATGGCCTTGTTGTCTACGTACAGGACTGGAGGAGAACGAGGCTGCTCTCCAAGGTCGGTCAACAGGTAGGTGAGCCAGCGTAACTCCTGTGCAGCCATAGCCCCGGCGTAGATCTCAGCCTCACAACTGGAGCCGAGAACAGAAGACGAGCGGGTAGCCCGCCACGAAACAGAGCCGGAACCAAGGCTGAAGGTGTAACCCTGTGACGACCGCTGCGTAGCCTGGTCGTCAGCCCAAGAAGCGTCCGCGTGCCCAGTGAGGACCACTGGACTGCGCCCTCCAAGCACTAGCCCCATGCCCGACGTACTGCACAAGTAGCGCAACACCCTCTTCGCTGCAGCCATGTGCTCTGGTCGGTGTCTCCCAGGAGCAACATAGCGTGCGAGAATGCTAAGAGGGTATGCAAGGTCAGGTCGTGTGCAGGTCATCAGGTACATGAGGCAGCCAACAAGCTCTGCATACGGGCCACTCGACTCTACGGACTCATCCGAAGGCAGAGCTGAGAGCGAGTGGCGAGTAGGCAGAGGAGTGGCCTGAGGCGAGGAGTACGTGAAGCCGAAGCGCTGAAGGACCTGCTGCACCATGTGTGACTGAGTCAGGGTAATGGTGCGGCGTGCTCTGTCCCGGGTGATCTGCAAGCCAAGATAGCTGCGCAGTTCACCCAGGTCAGTGCACGTGTGTCTCTTCTGCAGCTCGGACTTCACGTAGGCGAGTCCAGCAGTGTCAGCTGTGGCAAAGACCAAGTCGTCGACGTACACGAGGATGTAGAACGGCGGCAGAGAGGTGTCGGTGCGCAGAAACAGCGACGGGTCGGCAGTAGAAGGAGCAAACCCAAGTGCCGCGAGCGTAGTCCTCAGTGTGTCGTGCCACTCACGTGGCGCCTGGCGGAGACCGTAGACTGGACGCCGGAGACTCCACTGGGTACCAGGAGGGAAAGACCCAGTGAAGCCAGGTGGGCGACGCAGCCAGATCTCCTCGTGCAGGCTGCCCTGCAAGAAAGCTGTGCTGAAGTCGAGAGAGTGCAGCTCGTAGTCACGGTGAGCAGCAACGTGCAGCAGGACCCGAAGAGTGGTCATCTTCGGGGTGGGGGAGAAGGTCTGAAAGTAGTCAACTCCCTGCCGCTGACTGAAGCCACGAGCCACGTAACGCGCCTTGAAGACAGGCGGAGAACCCGGCGGCCGCTTCACCCTGAAAATCCACATGCCACTGACGATGTTCGCCCCAGGGGGGGGAACAGCGTCAACGTAGGTGCCTGTGGACTTCCAGGAAGCCATCTCTGCATCCATAGCTGCCTGCCACTGAGAGGAGTAGGGACCCTCTATCGCCTCCGCGTAAGAGCGCGGAGTCGGGATGTCTGGTGCATCCGGGTCTCCCTCAGGGGCTAGCAGTACAGACGCGAGACGAGGTGACACGACGGGTCGCTAAAAAAAGGACGCGCGCCTCGGGGCGCGCTTCGGTGGGCCCAAGAAACAGTCCCTAGTAGGGGACCTGCTCTGATACCATGTGAAAGAGAGAACGAGAATGGAATGACTATGAAAGAAGTGAGTACAAATAGGAAACCCTAATTGGGTTGTACCCCCTATGGGATACCCCACTATAGCCTACACAATAGTATAAGCTATATAGTTCTGACAATCTCCTCACTGATGGGGGAAAGCGGGGTGGGGGAAAGAGAACCGATAGGTGGTGGAAGGGTGACGGGTTTAGAGAGGCGAGAAAGGGACAAACTATGGGAGGAAAGGTGGGGGGAGGAGGAAAGTGTGGGCAAGCAGGAAATACAAATGGAAGGGAATGAAAGGATGCATCGGATGGAAGGAGAGAGGCGAAGTGGAGGAAGGAGGCAAGAAGGGAAAAACAAGGTAAAGGAGAAAGCAAGGAAGGGGAGAAGAATGACAAATCAGGAAAGCAATATGCGATGACATAGGACAACAAAGGGGCACGACATTTAAAAGGGGTAAAAAGAGTTGCGTTCAACAAAGAGGGGAGAGGAGCTAAAGAGGGGAAGGCACAACACTGTTATCTCTTACTGTGCAGGCTTATTTTGCTTGGGTCGCGATATCCTGGCCCGCGCACCGCTTCCGTTTGCCTCATTCACTTTCGAGACTTCAGGAACAACGATGTCATCAACAGTGGAGGTGGGCAGCAACAGCTTGCCAATGATCTGAGACGCATGAAACTGCATCTCCGTCTGACTCGCATCCACCTGTCCCTCACTCATGCAAGTCTCCACTGTTGCTTACACTACCATCCACTTTTTCCACATCTTCTCGCGCCCCCACACCTCCATCATCCGCTATTCGCACCAGCCGCACCTCCTGAACAAAGAGGGGAGTGGGGCTAAAGAGGGGAAGGCACACCACAGTTACCTTTTGTTGTGCAAACTTATTTTACTTGGGTCGCGATGGCCTGGCCCGCGCACCGCTTCCGTTTGCCTCATTCACTCTCGAGACTTCAGGAACAACGGTGTCATCAATAGTGGAGGCGGGCAGCAACAACTTGCCAATGATCTGAGACGCATGAAATTACATCTTTGTTTGAGTCGCATCCACACGTCCCTCACTCATGCGAGTCTCCACTGCCTTCCATTTTTTATCTCTACCATTCGCGCCACCGCTGCTTACACTACCATTCTCTTTCTACACATCTTCTCGTGCCCTCACAGACTCACTACTATTCGTTAGGCTTATTTTGCTTGAGTCGCCAGGGCCTGGCCCACGCACCGCTTCCATTTGCCTCATTCACTTTTGAGACTTCAGGAACAACGGTGTCACCAACAGTGGAGGTGGGTAGCAACTGCTTGCCAATGATCTGAGATGAATGAAATTGCATCCCCGTCTGACTCGCATCCACTTGCCCTTTATTCATGCGAGTCTCCACTGCTGCTTACACTACCATCCCCTTTCTCCACATCTTCTCGCGCCCTCACACTTCCATCACCTGCTATTCGCACCAGCCGCACCTCCTGAACATCGCCGTCACTTGATGCACCTTCTTCGTCATCACCCCCTTCTACATTCTCCTCACCTTCTTCTTTGCCCTCTTCCTCGCCCTCTTCCTCGCCCTCCTCTTCGCCCTCCTCCTCGTCCTCCTCCTTGCCCTCCTCTCGTCCTCCTCCTCCATCCTCCTTGCTCTCCTCCTCCTCCTCCTCCTCCTCCTCCTCCTCCTCCTCCTCCTCCTCCTCCTCCTCCTCCTCCTCCTCCTCCTCCTCCTCCTCGCCCTCCTTCTCGCTCTCCTTGCCGCCCTTCTTGCAACCCTCCTCCTCGCCCTCTTTATCACTCTCCTCTTTGCCTTTGTTCTTCAGCAATTTGAGCCAGGGTGGGCTGGAAGATTTCACCATTGCGGCATGGACAGCAACTGATCCTGCTAGGAAGAGGAAGATTTTGTCAAAACTCCACAATATGCATTGTCAGATCAATATATGTAGCACAATACAACAAAGACGTTGTGTACTAGAATTAATTTCATGCTGAAAGCGACGTTGCGTTCTAGAGTTAATCCCGTGCTGAAAGCAACGCCATGCTGCATCCAACCGTGTTACCTAATATTATGTTTTAAAAGGAAATCTGCAATGTGATTAGATCATACCATATCCATCGTCGCTCAAAATCAAATTCCACAATTGTTGATGTTTGTCTTTTTCATCCCATCACAGATGGTCACAAAGGCGGCTGGAAATTGCTTTGGCTGGATTATTCATGCGATCATCATGGTCATTGTGTATTTTATCATAATTTGAAGCATGATAGGATTTATTTTTTCCTTACATATGTAACATATAATATATATGCTCTCTTCTTTGCACATGAATTGGCAACTTATTTGTGTGTTCTTTTCATATTTTTGTGTTACTTGTAGGAGGAGCATGTTACGGCTATGAACGAAAACAAGCGTATAGCGTCGACACACATGAAACTCGCACAGCGTCGTGGAAGCCATGTAAGATGCAAAGCATTGTTTCTAGTATCAAACATTATATTCAAGTTGTAAAAACCTAGTATGGGGCTGGTTGCAACATGAGTTTCTTCAACACATTAATTGGGGTAATCTACTTGTTGCATTTTGTGGAGTGGATTTTATTTTTCTTTCTATTACTCGTATGTTGGTTTTCTGTCAAAATATGCTCATGATTCACAATTTTGTAACCTACGGTTTTGGCTATGAAGCGTGAGTATCGAAACAATGGTTTGGCAAAGAAGAAAGATTGATTAGAAAGAAGGGTACAAGTAGGAGCAAGATGGTGCACCGCTAACAAAAAGAGTAACACTACACAGTAACTACACTAGCAGGCAATTATATGAAATTTATAATTTCTCCTCCTAACTGCCTGCATTGAGAGCCACGTGCGGAGATACTAGATCAGAGTACCACATCACGCGTGCGGTGGCAGATGCAGTGGCGGAAGGTGCGGCGGTGGTAGCTCGACTTCATTCTCGCCACCCCCTTACCCTCTTTCCCCACAGCAATAGGTGTGGCAGTAGGAGATAGGCTGGGGAGCTGCTGAAACACATCCGCCACCCCCTCACCCCCCCCTCCACAGCAACAGGCGCAACCGCGAGAGAGAGGAGCGGGACTGTCGCTGAAGGTACAACCACCCCCCACTGCCACTCCCGCGTCCCCCCCACACCCTCCCCCCCTCCCTCCCCAACTGTTGCACGATAAGCAAGAGAGGGAGGAGGAAGCGGGCGGGGTCGGGCAGCGAAGATGACGGGAAGCGGGTCAGCGAGGTGCCCGCGGTTATAGGCGCAGAAAACCGACGCGTGCTAGGACGCGGGACGGGTAGAAACCAACGACGGGCAGAAACTGACGCGTGCTCGGGCGCGCGACGAGCATAAACCGGCGCGCTGGGGGGCGCGGCGGGCAGAAACCGGCGCGCGCTGGGGCACGCGGCGGGCAGAAACCGGCGCGCGCTGGGGCGCGCGGCGGGCAGAAACCGGCGCGCGCTGGGGCGCGCGGTGGGCAGAAACCGGCGCGCGCTGGGGCACGAGGCGGGCAGAAACCGGCGCGCGCTGGGGCGCGCGGCGGGCAGAAACCGGCGCGTGCTGGGGCGCGCGGCGGGCAGAAACCGGCGCGCGCTGGGGCGCGCGGCGGGCAAAAACCGGCGCGCTGGGGCGCGCGGTGAGAAACCGGCGCGCGCTGGGGCGCGCGGCGAGCAGAAACCGGCGCGCGCTGGGGCGCGCGGCGGGCAAAAACCGGCGCGCTGGGGCACGCGGCGAGAAAACGGCGCGCTGGGGGGCGCGGCGGGCAGAAACCGGCGCGCGCTTGGGCGCGCGGCGGGCAGAAACCGGCGCGCGCTGGGGCGCGTGGCGGGCAGAAACCGGCGCGCGCTGGGGCGCGCGGCGGGCAGAAACCGGCGCGCGCTGGGGCGCGTGGCGGGCAGAAACCGGCGCGCGCTGGGGCCCGCGGCGGGCAGAAACCGGCACGCGCTGGGGCGCGCGATGGGCAGAAACCGGCGCGCGCTGGGGCGCGCGGCGGGCACAAACTGGCGCGCGCTGGGGCGCGCGGCGGGCACAAACCGGCGCGCGCTGGGGCGCGCGGCGAGAAACCGGCGCGCGCTGGGGCGCACGGCGGGCAGAAACCGGCGCGCGCTGGGGCGCGCGGCGGGCAGAAACCGACGCACGCTGAGGCGCGCGGCGGGCAGAAACCGGCGCGCGCTGGGGCGCGCGACGGGCAGAAACTGACGCGTGCATCAGGTGCGCGACGGGCACACAACTGACGCGCGCTCAGGGCGCGCAATGGGCAAAATACCTGTCAGAACATTATAGCTGATGCTGTTGTGTAGGCTATAGTGGGGTATCCCATAGGGGGTACAACCCAGTTAGGGTTAGTACTTGTACTCACTTCATTCATAGTTCATTCATTCTCTCGTTCATACTTTCTCATGGTATCGAGCAGGTTCCCTTGTGGGAACTATTCCTAGGGCCCACCGAATTTTGTTTTCCTGCCCGGGGCGCGTTCTGTCCCTGCCCGAAGCGCGCTTAGGGTCGCGCCCTTCTTAGCGACCCGTCGCGTCACCCTTAGCGACCCGTCGCGTCGCCCTTAGCAGCGGCCCGTCGCCGCCCTAGCAGCGGCCCGTCGCCGCCCTCTCACCAGCGGCCCGTCGCCGCCCTAGCAGCGACCCGTCGCCGCCCTTCTCACCTGCGGCCCGTCGCCACCCTAGCAGCGACCCGTCGCCGCCCTAGTAACGGCCCGTCGCCGCCCTAACAGAGGCGCGTCGCCGCCCTTCTCACCTACGGCCCGTCGCCGCCCTTCTCACTGCGGCCCCGCCGCCCTAAACTTCTGCGGCCTCGCCGCCCTCATCCGCGGCCCTGCCGCTGTCATCTGCGGCCACGCCGCTCTCTGCTGCAGCCTCGCCGCCTCTCACCTGCTGCAGCGCCGCCCGCCACCAGGACTGCCCGACCCGCCCCACCCAGCCGAGAAGCCGACCGCCGCGCCACCCTACAGCAGCACCGCCAAGCCGTCCGGGCGACGGAGCAGCCGAGCACCCGAGCCGCCCAACAGCCGAGCCGCCCAGCAGCCGAGCCGCCCTGCAGCCAAGCCGCCGAGCCTCCCAGCAGCCGAGCCGCCCTGCAGCCGAGCCGACGAGTCGCCCAGCAGCCGAGCCGCCCAGTAGCTGAGCCGCCCAGCAGCCGAGCCGCCGAGCCGCCCAGCAGCCGAGCCGCCCAGCAGCCGAGCCGCCCAGCAGCTGAGCCGTCGAGCTGCAGAGCCGCCCTCCTTCCGAGCTGCCCGAGCTGCCCAGTCTGGTGAGCACAGCGCCTCTTTCACTACACTGCCCTCACCCCACTGTTTGCACTGCTAGTCTAATGTGGTCATGGCTACCCCTAGTGTCCTCGCTTTTGACGCTGAGGGTCGGGCCATTGACTTTAAGGTCTCGGTAGATGACCTGCAGCTGTTCTTACAGTGCGATAGGGCAGACGGCCTCTCTCTCTCTGACCTCACCTCTGGCGCTTCCCCTGCCCCTGCTGCTGATGTTGACGCCACTGTTCGTTCCCAGTGGGCCACGCGCAACGCTGCTGCACGTCTTGCTGTGCGTCGCCACCTCCCTACCTCCGAGCGTGCACACTTTAGTCAGTACAAGAGTGCTCAGACCTTGTACGATGCTGTAGTTGCACGCTACTCCTCCCCTGCCACTGCTGCACTTAGTCGTCGCATGCTGCCGTACCTCTTCCCTGACCTTGCTGCCTTTCCTACAGTCGCTGACCTCATTACGCACCTCCGCACTAGTGACACTCGCTACCGCGCTGCGCTTCCTGCTGATTTCTGCACCAAGAACCCCCCCCCCCCCCCATGTACATCACCCTCTACTTCATAGTCACCCGACTCCCTGACTCCCTTAGAGTAGTCAGGGACCACTTCCTCGCAGTGCGCCCCACCACTCTCACCATTGACCTCCTCGAGAAGGCCCTCCTAGCGGCGAAGAAGAGCATAGTCACTGTAGGAGCCTCTCGTGGTGACCCCCGCACCCCTGTCTTTGAGGGGTGTTCTCCCTCCCCCCTCTTGCCCTCTATTGCTTCTGCTGCTGTGGCCGACCTCGTTGGTTTTGAGTCGGTCGGTGCTGCGTCTGCCTCTTCCGGGAAGCGCCGCACAGGCAAGGGCAAGGGGAGAAAGGCGGCTGGAGGAGCTGGCGGGGGCGGTGGAGGTGGCGGTGGAGGCGGCGGAGGGAGTGGGGGTGGTGGTGGGAGTGGTGGAGGGGGTGGGGGTACCGGTGGCAGCAGTGGTGGCGGAGGCAGCGGCGGTGGCGGTGGCGGCGGTGGTGGCGGAGGCGGCGGTGGTGGCGGAGGCGGCGGAGGAGGCGGAGGTGGCGGTGGAGCTGGTCGCGGGTCTACGCAGAGGAGTGGGTCCGGTGGTGGTCCGCGCCAGCAGCAGCAGCGCGGTCGTGAGACCCTGTCCCCTCAGCAGCTCCGTCAGTGGTACACTACACGCCAGCGGGGTGGGGGTTTTGGTCCGTGAACCTACGTCCTGCGCACCGGCGACCGTGCGGGTGAGCAGTGTGGGGGTGCGCACCCCACCCAGCGCTGCTTTGGCTGCCTGACGGACGCGTGGCGTCACCAGTTCCCTGAGGCCACTTGGAACCTACTGAGAGCCTTCTGTCGCGCACGAGGCATCCGTCAGACCTTCACGCTTCCGGAATCTCCACTGCGAAATGGGATCACTGAGCGCCGCATTGGCATGGTCATGGACGTTGCTCGTACGTCCCTGATGCATGCGGCTCCCCCCCATTTTCTGTGGCCGTTTGCGGTGAGGTACGCGGCGCATCAGATCAACCTCCACCCCAGGGTCTCCAGGCTGGAGACCTCCCCAGCCTTGCTGTGGACGGGGAAGGTTGACGATGCGTCGGCG